TAGCGGCGCTCGTCAAGGACTCTTCATTCAAGTCGGCCATCGCTGCTGCGGTGTCTGCCGCCCTCCTGCGGCCCCAGTTTCCTGCTGAGACGCTGCTGACCGAAGACACCGGGGCGCCCGATGATTTTGTGGATGGCACGGAGCTGGAGCTCGGTTTTTTCAGTGTTGGTGGATGCTGTTACTACGGCGTCTTTAGGGCAGCCTCGGTTTTGGGAGGGGGGCATGTGGGTATCGAGAGCACCCTCCTATCTGGCACCTCGTTCCCCAGCTGCCGCGCGCGCCAATGGCGTAGCCCGGGCACGCATAAGCACCGATATTCGCCAAGATCGCTGACAGGGCACCTCTTGGTCTGGGCGAGTCAACTGTCGGTTCCTTCGCGCGCTGGCATGTCCGGGCACGCTATGCTGGCACCCTGCGTGGGCCTACGTCACAACGCAGCACCTTGGGCCGCGCGGGACATCCTCCTCTCTTTCGAGCTATGTTGCGCCCAACGATTCGCTCGTCGTGGCAGATGCTCTCAAGCCTCCACGAGAGGTTGACGCGCTACTTAGCAGGCGGCTTCTCGTTTGTACGTTTGACTTCGGCCCTTGTGCGGGAGTCGTCGCGCCCTAGGCAAGCGTACTTGCTCGGTCTTGCGAAGTACCCTATACGGCCTGCAAGCCCGTGAGTGTCGCACTGTGCTGCATCTTGGGTTACTCGTTCTTGTTGTTATCCTGCCTCGTGCGTGGTTTCTGTGCCGTGCCGGAGAAATCGACGAACCCGGCCGCAGCGGCTTCGCACGCAGCGGCAGTGAAGGACGTCGCATCCCTACACTGGTATGTATCGTCAATTCAAAGATTTTTCGCAATCCCACTGACTGAGGTTTTACTGTATGCAGTGCTGACATTTAATGTTTTCTTAACGGAACAGCGGATTTTACACATCCTCTGGTTCAACTTTTTCGTGTGCTTATTGCATCACCTGAAGAGGTGGCACCATAAGTGTTTTTTTTTTTATTTTTGCTGCACTGGCTATACAGTTGAATCTTCAAATGCAGAGATCGGTGGGGAAAGATTGAGAACTTTTGAGCACCCCTTCATGAGTTAGCATAACCGTATGAACGATATACAGACGACGTTTGATTTTTTCTACCCTCAAGGGATCACAAAAATGTCTGGAAAATTGGGCAGCCTGGAAGAACGAATGCACGCGAAAACGCATCTTTTCTTTACGCTGGTATTTTGGTGGACGGAGGTGGTCATGACAAGAGTACAAGATTTTCTCGCTGCAATGCAGTGTTTACGTGGCTCAAAGAGAGCCGGTCGTAAAAAGAAAAAAAAATCTGTTGTGGGCGGCCCTACCTCATCAGTCAACACTTTGGCCAAAAAAATCACTTATCTTCTCTTGCACAGCGTTCTGCTTGCTTGCAATGATGTCTGACTGAATTTCAGCTAAGTTTATGCTGTCGCTGTACACCGATGACATAATTGCTGGCGTCCACTCCGAGCTTGTTGGCCGTGTAGGTGCTGCATCTTCGATCTCGGCTCTGGAGTTGTTGGAATTTTTTCTAACTTCACGAATGACTTTGTAATCTGTCGCTACAGCTCAAGGTCTTTGTCAACATCAGTGAAGCACTTGAAGGTTATCTCGACTGGAATCAAAATGCTGGCAGCGCGCAGATTGTTGAAGGCAGTGTCCGCAGACAGAAGTTCGTCACACACGCTATTAACTGCGGCAGCACCCGCTGTCTCAGCGATTTCGCTTGGCGAAAAGCGCAGCGCTAAACAGCTAGAAACTTGGTGACTGCTGAAAATCGGGAAACGTCAACGCTAAAGATAGCATGATGCAGCACACTATCTACCGCAGAGCTGACAGAACAGCTTGTGAACGAACACAGTGAGGATTGACCACAGGTTTGACCACGGCCAGCAACAGATTGGCGTGCTCTATATTGCGTCAATTTCAGTTTCAAAGGTACGGCAGTCGCACTGTGATGCGCGAGCGACCCGAAAATGGTAGGTTCAAGGGTACGAAAACAACCAATTTGGTGGCGCGGTGGTGACTTTGAGTCTGCGACTAGCAGTAAGAAGTCCGAAAGTTTCGATGGCGAAGGCTATAAGTGTCCAAAATATCGGACATTTTAATACATTCACTCTATGGGCAATTCGACAGTGCCGGCAATGAGTCTGAGAAATCAGGCATGTTTGGAATTATGGGCAGTAACAGTGCACAAGCTCACGGGATGAAGAGAAGGGACACAAACAAGCGCTTCTCTCAACTCAAGATTTATTGAAATATACAAATTGTCTGAACACATAAGATAAACATAGAGAACATGCGCAGAGGGGCCAGCAAGGGACCGTGTCGGCTTCATTAACAATTTCACGCTGTGGGTAACTGGGCAGGCGCTACAAAATTCAATTCAAACATGCTATTGATTAGGATTTCTTCTTTTTTATGTAAAAATATTGATGTTTCACTAACGCAGGACTTCCCTTCATTTTTGATATAAAATTCTTCCACAAGTTTTCTTGTGACCTGATCACTATGTTTGAAGAGCACTGTCGTTTGATTGAACAAAGGCCTGCACCCACAGGTGTGTCAGTGCGAAGGCAGATTCGCGTACATGCAGGTCTTAAAGGTTCTGGATCATTCTTTTAAAAACAACACCCTGTTTGCCCGATATACACTTTTTTACATGTTAAGGAAATTTTGTACACTACCCCTAGTGCACAGGGTAGTGAAGCGTCCCTGTGTTTTACACCACATTTATTTTGGCTGGAGCTCTATCATGCTTTCACCATAGGGCACAATTTTCCTAATTTGTTTCTTGCTGAGAAGAATACCTGTACATTGTACCGTGATGCCACATTTTTGTCCATGGGCTAATTTATGCTTGTAGGGCGTGGTGGCACATATTTTTTTACCTCTCTTGTTCTTTAACACTTTTTCTCCCTTCTTGATCGGACATATCAGACCTTCCCAAACAGAAGTGATAACAGGCGTCGGAAAGTCGGTTGCCTGAAGGCGACACACTTGTTGATAGAAGCTCTGTTCCGCCTGGTGCCTGCACGACTTCTGAATCGCAGCCCCGAGGCTAGACGCCGTGACGCCTTCTATCACTATTTTTGAATTAACAGACTTGTAATTAAGCAAAAGTTTTGCTGATCTTGGGTTATACGCCCAACAAGGGTGGTGGGAACTGTAAAGCCTGCTGTGAATGTATTTCGCTGGTGAGTATTAGCCCCATCGCAGTTTTTTGAAGATCTACAGTACCTTTTCAACATTCATGAGCTCCTCATTTTTGGGCACTGCTGTTAAGTAATCATTCGCGTAATGGGCGAAACGAACCATCTTTCCCTCCAACCTTTTTTCTAGTCTGGAATCTATTTCCCTAGAAAGATGTCACTGAGAACTGGTGCCACCCTAGATCCATCACAGACCCCTGCTTTTTGAACCATTATTTTTCCTTCCCAAACAGTGAAGGTTGATTGCTTATAGAACATCAATAACTAAAAATTTTTTCACCTTCAAACCTCACTCGTTTTCGAAATTTTGCTCGTCGTCATCTTCTGTAATGCATTCTTTCACACATTCATTAGCTCCCGCTGTGGAAAGGAATAATATAAACCTTCTACGTCTACACTGAATGCTGTGCATCCGTCAAACTTTGCACAACGTAATTCAACGAATACCTGCGAGTTCTTTATTATGAATGTATCCTGCACTTTTAGTTTTTTTAGTTGCTTCTGCAGAAAGGCTGAAATGATTAATTGCCATGTGCCTCTTTTGGAAACAATAGTGCAAAAAGGCTAATCCAGTTTATGGGTCTTTATTGAAGAGAAAGGTAGCAGTCGTGACCCCTGAGCCTTTGCTATACTTTTAGACAGACTTTCTAGGTTCCTTTCCTGCAAGGAGTTCTTTGTGCTTTCCCTAACTTTTTTCATCTCATCTTTCACTGCCCAGAAGTTTTTAATCAGAGCCACAGATGCTTTCTCAGAGAACTGTTCCTCAGTCAACAGTACAAAAAACCCTTTCTTATTTGCGGTCAACGACTTCAACTTTTTGTCTTTCAAGGATTCAGCAAAAGGTTGTATCCGTATGCTTTTCTTTTTTGTCCCTTTTTGACTACGCATAATGACATCTGCACATTCAGACACACACCTTGTCCTCTCATCCATCATAACTTGCCTAGAAACAGTCCTCGCTAAGGCTACCTTTTTAACGGTGCTGAGCATTCGTTCAACGCAGAACTTTGGGCTGAGCTTGAGTGTCTCCAAGTGCTCTTCCGGTATCGTTGTGCTGGCTAGGTTCAAGACCTTGCCCGCAGGATTTGTCCTCCCATTGCATTTCGGTGCGGTCTGGCTGTCACCTAAAGAAACTCGGTCACCGATTGGCTGGTTCGACATAACTCTCCATATCATCTTTTCCCCTCTCTTCTTCCACACTATAGTACGCAGGTGGTCCTTTGGCAGTCCTTAAGCAGTCTTGTCTGGCTCTATAATTCAGGCCTCCAAATTTGGAACATTCGCTTTGTGTGTGCTATCGATGGTCGTATACGCCTGCACATGGCCATTAGTTCCTCTGGGCATGTCCTGTGGCGCAAGTGCCACAACAGCACTCTTACGCGACATTCGTAAGTGTCTGTTTTTGCTGCCAAGAAGGCTGGGTCTTGAAAAAATATGTTGGGACGAGAGAAGAAGCCCTTGTTGAAAAAATAAACTGAAGGAAGACTCATAGTTGGGCTAGTTGATGATACATTATGGGCGGTAACAGCGCACAAACTCACGCGACGCAGAAAAGGGACTTAAACAGTGCTTGTCTGTGTCTCTTCTCTTCGTCTCGTGAGTTTGCGCGCTGTTACCACCCATGATGTATCACCAACTCGCCCAACGGTCTTGCTTATGTTTGGAATTTCGGGAGTCCAGGAAATCGTACGTCGGCTGTATGGGCACTAGGGAAAAGAGTGTACACTGAGAGAGAAGGAATTGTAAAGGGCGTTTGTTATGCTTTTGTTGCAGGCCACCCTCCCGAACCGGAAGTGCAGCCTGAACCAGAGGCCTCCGTCACAGAGCCAGAACCGTTGCGTGTCGACCCTGTGAGTAGGAAGCCTGGTTGATATTTACTCCTGTTTGGAGCATGTATGATGATGATGGTAGATCCTTATTGCACAAAGTGTGCCAAGAATGATATTGCTGTTTGACTCTCTAATAAAGCGAACTTCTCGAGGTGAGAAAAATAAAACCATGGTCTATAGGGCCTAAAATTAGATAAGAGTAATTATTATGTTAACTGGCCAAATCTGTGGGCTTTACAAAGTCGCACAGCCTAAGCAACAGTCCGTCTCAGGACAAGGAGTGCCGAGAAGAAGGGATTAATGAGCATATAAAATGTTTGGAGCAGGCAGTGGGGTGTAACTCTAAAATTAGCATTTAAAATAGCAATGTTAGATCAAAATAAGAACACTTGCATAATGAACGCAGTATTAGACACACCATGGGCAACTATTTCATGTGGCGTCAAGGAACTGAAAAGAAATGTTCATCAAAAGATCACACATGTTCTGAAGTTCATCCTGGAAAATAATTACTAAATCGCATTCTTAAGGAAATCGGGGATGCAATCTAGGCATTTGTGTTTTTACACCAAAGGCTTTCAAATGTTCTTACTCCGACAATGCCTTCTTTCAGTACAGTCTCAGAACTTCACAGAAATTCACAGGGCGCTTGAGCTTTGTGATACAGCACAGTGGCATGATTAGGCTCTGTTCACAACAAAGCCATCACTTCAATGTTGTTTAAAGAACCCCAGGGGGTCGAAATTTTCGGAGCCCTCTACTACGGCGTCTCTCATAATCATATGATGGTTTTGGGACGTTAAACCCCACATATCAATCAATCAATCAACTTCAATGTTGTGCCAGGAGGAAAGGAAAATCTCTCTACTGCAAGGACCATTTTGCAAATTAGCGTCTCACATTGGCTAACTTTGCTGATAATTGTGCCTGAGCAATTCTTAATGGTTGGGCCACCTGCTCCTTGCACAATTAACATTGTGTGATTCTGTGCAGCCGTTATGCATTGCTGTATTTACTCGCATAATTTGTGCAGTTTTTTTTCCAGAATTTTGGGGCTCTGCAAAGGGATGCGCAAACCACGCAGAGATTTTGCATACGAAATGTTGTGCAAAGGTCCTAACGCACTCAACATATGCATTAAAGAAAAAGAAAATAAATTAGAGCACAAACTAAGTGTTGTTTACTCAACAAAATTAGCATGTTGTTTAACCAGCCGGATACGGTCATGGTCCGTCTAGTTCAAATCGCTGATCGAGAGGCTAGATTGGGAATCGTGGGAATCATCATCGCAGCTGCTGTCACCGCCTGCCGAAAATCATCGGCATCAGTTTCATCTAGGGCATTAGAATGCCCCATTTTCTTGAAATCCTTCTTCTTAGTGCTAGGAGAAACTAAATCTCACGACACGGCGATACCGGAGAATCTAAGCATTTTCTTCAATGGCAGGAAACATTTATTAGCAAGCGCACTCTCTTTTTTTTTTCGTACAGATTGTGATGATCGTCACACGTTGAAGAACTTCATGGTGAAGCTCTTAGCGGTGGCACAGTTCCCGTTTTATGTGGCGATCTTGTATAACAGTGAGATTTAATTTCGTTGTATATGTAACTATGTATATGTAACTATTGTAGCCCATGGCAAGGACAGAGTAAAACTGCGACAGACAGATGGTCAAGCTGCTGTACATTGTAATGTACCTTGTTTTACGGTATTGCCCCAGAGGCTACCATCAAGACATATATAAACAACTTCGCCAAGGTCAAGAGGGCGTGGTGAGGAACTTTGTGTCTTTTTATTGAGTGCTTAGTGCCTTGCTTCACAAACACTACAGATACCTAAACTTCTGGAATCAACCAAGCGGGAATCGCATCGTGGATGCAGAGAACAAGGGAAACAGTTGGCTCGACAAGGTGACAGGCCTTCGCACAGCCTCCGATGCAGAAAGTTGATGTCCTGATGCGAGTGTGTATTCTCATGGTTCTACTGGTGAGCAGATAGAGGGAGGAAAATGCAGCCAATGCTTGAGCAGTCCTAGTGACCCGTCAGCAGGTTTGAGCGTTCGGGTACAGTATTCTAGGGACCCTTGTTCAGGCGAAGTTCTCGGAAAAAGGGACTTCACACTCCCTGCCCATTTGGCTGGGCCCGGCACGCCTATCCGAAGCATATAAAGTCTCTTCTTGCGCGCACCGGCGAGCTGGCTCGAGCGGGTTGGGAAGTGCAAAGTATACGAGTAAATATTTTTTTCTTCTGTAGTGAAGCTGGCAAAATAATAAATGTGCACAAATTGCACGGGGCCTGCGAGGGCACAAATTATGCGAGTTAAATATGGTATTACATCTCTTAACATGATTACTTTAAACTAACATGTTGCCTGTATAGGGTTTTTTTTTTTTCAAAACATTTCTAAGCACTGGCACAATGCGTAACTGCCATGCTCATTGTCCTGGGTTTTATTCCAGTCTGGACCCATGAGTAATATTGGCCATCACTACAATTTTCGAGATACTTTGAATAGACTCTAAAGCTATTCCATTTAGGGGGGACGCGCCCTTTGAAAACCGAAAAATCGCGAAAAAGTCGATTTTTTGAAAACCACATACTCGGGCAGCATGACTCATAAACTGCCTCTACTGTAAATATCAATGTCTAATTCATCGCGAAAGTACGTCAAATTTTATAACATGCCGCGGCAGCCGGCAAGCGGCGAGCGAGCGCCAAAAATACCCCAACTTCGCACGCTCGCGATTTCCCAACCGCTCGGCCGATCGCCGCCATCTTGATGTTGTTTTGCTCTTGAATTCTTGCGCTTTTTTTTTCGCCACCCGCGGCAGTGGCGGTGGCGCTCCGAGGCGGGAGTCGCTCACGATTGGGGGGCTCGCGGAAGCTTTCGAATGTCCCGCTGCCTGGACGCGAAGCCGCGATTGGACAAAACGCGCGCCTCTCGAGGGAATGGGGGAACGCGCGGCTCCTATTGGCTGCTGCGCGCGATGACGTAGCTGCTTCTCCGGCATGCGCCGGCTCGTCGTCTGCACCGGCGCTTGCAATGCCGGGGTTCTTTGTGTGCCCCGTTTGCCATCATTTCGATCGGTCGTCACACGTGCTCCTCTATCTTTCACCGTCTTCACGAGACGATCTTCTACCGTCTTCACGAGACGATCTTCTACCGTCTTTACGGGACGATCACTACCGTCCTCACGAGACGATCTTCCGCCATGTTCACGGGACGCGGATTGCTGCGCTGACGGTCACGATGGGCATCTCGAAGTTCAAGACTCGGCACGCGTTCGGTTCAAGAAAGCGTCAGCTGAAGCTCGTACGCATGGCGAAGCTCACCTGCACGCCCACGCGCGGCGATAGTTGCACCGATGCTTCCGCTTCATCTTTTCAAGACGATTGCGTCGACGCTTCTAGCGACGAGACTTCTACACCATCGGCACAAGGATCCGTCGTGACGAGTGAGGCTGGTGTTTCGTGCTCAAGTGCGCCTGGTGTGTCGCGCTCGCCAACCGCATTGATTCCGGCCCCGAACAGTGAGACCGCGTCATCGACTGTGCACATCCAAACACGTTTTCGGACGTGCGAGGAGTTGGCGACGGCGGAGAGAGAACGTGCTGCTGTGCATCGAAAGCTTGGCGCTATGCCAGCGACCGAGAGGAAGTTTCAAGCGATGATGCCTGAACCCGAAGCTGCCACCGCTACGACCGAAGGCGAGAGATATTTCCTCGTGCAAGGGAATGCACTTAGCGACATGCTGTCCAAGACCCCGTGCCCGCGCTGCCTCGCGACCGGGATGAAAGTTCAAGGAGGCACCCAGCTTGGACTTGCCACGAAGCTTGAGCTGGTATGCCCACATTGTGGAATAGTTTCAAGTTCGTGGAGCTCTGCTCGTCAGAACGAGTCAAGGGCCTTCGACGTGAATATAAGAGCCATTACGGCCATGAAACAAATAGGGAAGGGACAGACAGCCCTCAACGACTTTTGGGCAACTATGAATGTTTCCCACCGTGGCCTGCACCACAGAACTTTCCAGAGGCACCTGAAGCAATTCAGAGAACCACAGCAACAGACCCTGGATAAATTCTATGAAGAATCGGCTTCTGCTGTGAAAAAGGTGTACAAGGAGATGGACCCATCTTTCTGCAAGGACATTACAGTGAACTATGATGGCACGTGGCATAAGCGCGGACATACATCTCACATTGGAGTTGGTGCAATCATCGAGTATCACACAGGCCTCATCTTGGATGCTGTAGTTTTATCGAATCAGTGTCTCGGCTGCCAGGTAGGACCGAAGCCTGAAGACGAGGGCTATGCAAGCTGGTTGAAGCACCATGTGTGCCAAAAAAACACTGATGCCAAGTCTGGGAGGATGGAGGTTGAAGCAGCTGTAACTCTGTTCTCACGTTCACTGTCCAAGCATAACCTCCGTCCAAGCATAACCTCCGGTATACAATCATTGTATCTGATGGGGACAGCGCCACATTCTCTGCCCTTCAACAAGACAATGTTTATGGGCTAGTCCCTATTGTGAAAGAAGAATGCTTGAACCATGTCCGGAAGAGGATGGGCACAGCCCTACGTAATCTTGTGCAGAAAAGCGAACAGGCTCTGGGAGGGAAGGGCAGATTGACAAAAGCCCTTATTGATAAACTCACAGACTATTATGGCTGGGCACTGCGGAACAATTCAAACAATGTGGCTGCAATGCAGCGTGCAGTGATGGCGTCATATTATCACGTCACCTCAACTGACGAGGATCCTCACCATGACTTGTGCCCGGAAAGTGCAGACTCGTGGTGCCGTCATAATGCCTGCAAGGGGAATGGCGTGCCACCTCCAAAGCACAAATACAATCTTCCGGGCAACGTTGCAGAAGCGCTGCTGCCAGTCTACTAGCGCTTTTCGCAGGCTTCTCTACTGCAACGCTGCCTGGGAGCAAAGACGCAAAATGCATCGGAGTCATTCCATTCTGTCCTATGGTCCTTGATGCCCAAGGAGCAACATGCATCATTGATTGCTGT